ACAAAAAACCAACGTGCACCCAAATTATTTCATTATATCGTTCGCGCATTTGTACGTAGAATTACGGTCGGTGATGACGACTATAAGTTTGTACACGTGTGTATTTTTTACTATCTCCTTTAGACATTGAGGGTTTTCCAAATTTAAACGGTACATCAAAATACATATACACAATATTTACGTATTATGTATATATATATATTTCTCTAAACGAAAATAAGAGAGTGTGAAGTATGATACACATTTCTAGTACCACCTGAAACCATAATTTTAAATATACATTAAAAATCATAAAAGTATTCATACGTGATTTTGAATTGCTCTGAATCGATAGTTTAGATATTTAATTATATATTATCACATTGTCTTGTGTATTTTGCAGTTTCAAAACGTAATACGTAGACAGATTAATGTTGCTATCACTATTAATAGTTAATACGAGTACTATGATATTGGCTAAATTTCGTATGAGATATGTTCAATAAATATAAATGTTAGGAATATCTTATATCTAAATAATAAGTTTTTATTTTGAGTGAGTACAGCTAACCTTGAATATTTCCGCACTTCTATCTTCAATTAATTAAAATTTTATTTTTATTAGATATTTTTTCAAACATCATAGAAAGTTTTTATCATTTTTGAATATATGTTTATAAGGTTAGATTATTTTATTACATTTGTAAGAAATAGGTATCTATAATAAACATATGAGTTGTAGTTTTCATGTAACTTTCATTGAATATTAATTTTTATAACTCATTGTTTTGCCAAAAAAACTATTCATTTTTAATTTTTTTTATAATTGTTCATGTAATAATAATCTATACAAATAAAATATAATTACTAACGAAATCAAAAACTCATCAATGTTGAACATTTTCTGTTAATCGAACTCGGGTTATAAATTTTAAATTTGAATAAAGTAATAATCATCAGTATTCGATTTTGATTACAACGGATTTGTTGTGATTTGTATCATTTTGTCAATTTTATTAACAATTCTAAAAGAGTTGGGAAATGTTTTTAATTGATTTAGAAATTAAAAATAAGGATCAAATTCGATACTGTAGTAACAATTCACATGTAAAATGTTGATTGTTCCATTTAAAGAAAAAATGTATGAAGATTATTACAGAAATAAATGCACATTAGCATAAAGGTAATAAATTGTTTTCTTTGCGAGTTATTTTTTACACTTATCATTCAGTAATCATAAGAAATGTTTATAAAAATTTCTTAAAATAATAAAAAAAAAGGAACGATAAACGTTATATGTTGTCCTACAAGTGGCTAAAATCGATAATTAAAGTAATATTATATAATTTTCTTTTTTGAATTATAATATTATGATGTATTTAATAATGAACATAATTTAACGATAAAAATAAAAGTATTAAATAAAATTAGCATAAGTCATCCAAGATCTGTTAAAAATATAATACGCTTAGCTAATTGTTCATTTATAATTTACATTTAAGTTAATAATTTTTAATAAATAATCACATTAATTAATTTATAAATACACTTTTTGAATTTTAAATCAGTAATGATTAAAATCATGATAAATTATCTACTAATAATTTTACGAGTATATTGTTAAATCACATTATTATAAATATTTCTGGAAATTAAATAAAATAATTTATTATTTCTTTAATGTTATGCATATATACGTATTTAATTCGTTAATTAATGTGCAAATTGATTTAGAAAATCTGTAATAATTTTAATGGATTGCAGTACAAGGAATAAATCCCAAACTGTCTGTTATTTTCTTTGATCCTTTATTAATTAGTTCAAAGACAATATTCAAGACTATTATAAATATCCGACTGACAAGTTGACGGTCTTCCAAATTATGGATGTTTCTAAAAAAAAAAAAAGATCAGTATTTAAGTTGACCGTGAAATTTAGAATTGAATCTCAATCGATTTATAAATAAAATGGATACCTATTTTATGAAATAAATAACATTTTTATTTGGCAAAACTAAATATTAAATTTTTATAATTAGCTTATCAATTAAAAATATTAAAATTGTGCACATTATGGTTATATTATGTATTTTATTTCTAATTTAACCTTGTATTTTTATATACATTTTTTTTTGGTTATTATATTCAAAAGTATTAAACGAAAATTATTTACCATCAGGGACTCGTACGATTTTTAAGTGATTTAATTAATCGGCCAGACACAACTGATATAGATATTTATCATTAATCATTGGTTACATAAATATGTGTACATACTAAAACTTTTAATGGAGTCTCTATTTATGAAATAATTGTATTCTTTTTTATTTTCTGTATAAAATAGAGTCATTTGTTAGTTAAATCATCTCTCATAAAATCGATGAAAACAATTATCAATAAATTATTTCAGTTCGCAGTTCATAGATTTTCAAATTTTTATATTTAATATTATAGTACCTTAGTATATTTATTTTCATATTCATCATATTTTAATTATTTCAGTAAATATATTTCTTAAATCAAAAACATCGATTGAATTAAGCATGTTGTGAACTCGAAAGAGCCATAAGTAAAATAAAGCATTAATCAGTGAATTACAATATAAATTAAGTATGCTATACTAGCAGATAATTAATAACACTTAGAACATTATACCTAACAATAAGAATATATATTATTCAAATGGGAGTCTGACGAATTTAGATTAATAATTATTTTAGGTTAATGCAACTCGAGACACCACTATATTATATTTAGATATTATAAACGGCACATACAAATATTTTTAGTCGACATTAAACATTGTCTTTCTATAGCTTGATAACACACTTTTTTGCGGTCAATTAATAAACTATGAATCATGTCAGTAAAAATCCTAACAATAATTTACATTTTACTATTTATATCTCGTGTAATAGAACAAAATTATATTCGTTTAATGTAAGAAGTACCTTTCTATTCAATATTTAATCGTACTGAATATTGATGTTCTAAGATATGAAGAAGTTTAAGAGGTTTAGGTTTCAATATCATGAATTAAATGTTTATGTCATTTAAAATGAATAGTATGCCATTCATCTGAATGTTAACTGTAGAGAAATCTTCATTTATTTGGTTATGTCTTCATTATTTTAACAGCTTAAAGTTAGAAATTAATAATATAAGTTTTTATGTATAATTTAATAATAATTGACGAATCTACTGCTGGATTATAGGTAAAAAAATGTTATTTTTTACATATTATCTAACGAATATAACTTCTATAACTCCTTTATTTTAATAAGTGTAATCAAATTTAATTTTTATATAAAAAATTTTTTGTTGATTAGATCAAACGAGAAGTATAATCCCTAATCCAATATAAAGAAAAGACTTAACTATAGTATTATTTAAGTATTTATACTATCGTAGGACTCTGGAAAATATTGCAATAAATTAGTATATTATTGAAGAGTAGCCTATGAATAATACATTAATATAGTTGTGATATAAATTAAAATGTGATTGAATAAGTATGCCAAATTTATAGATTTTTTATTTATTTATCATTAAACTATGATACTGAGATAATTAAAATGTATTTTTTTATAAAGATAAACGTTATTTAGTTTGTTTCAAGTATAAAATAAGCATTTACTAATAAAATCATAAAATAAAAATTCATATTATGAAACTATTTTGTTATTATCCGTTTAAAGCAATAAGTTATTAAAACATATTGTTTATCTCACTTTCATCACGTAAATATACAATTTGTGAGTATGAATTATCAATTGAGTAATTAATAATAAAAATTTCAATTTTTTTTTTAAAAAAAAGCCCGAATATAGTAATTCTTATTCAAGAGAGTTAAAAGCAACTTTGTCTCAAGGCCAATTATAATCAAAACAGAGAGCAACGACCGGAATCGGACTTTTAATTTTTTATACATGTCTAAGGAAAGTAACACCCAAAAAATATATATTTTTAGCAAAATAATTAATTCAATTAAACGAATGAAAAAAAAAAAATAGTACGATCAAACATTTATAATAGTTTATGATTTACACATATCCTTTTTTGGTGTTTTAAAAATGAGTACTAAATATATCACAATTTCATTTGAAATTTAAAACAATTTGATATTTACTATTTTAATGTACCTTAAGTTTGTTTTGTCAAACTGTGAAATGTTTTTTTTTAGCTTTTTTCCCATAATTTATATATATGCCTTCTGAGATGTAATTAATAAATTATGAATAGAGAAAAAAAGCTTTATATCAAAATTAACAAATAGATCATACGTTTCTAATCCTATTACACAGAAACATTATATCAGTCTTGTTTTTTCTTAAACGTTTGGATCATACACATTAATATGCGATGAACTTCTTCAGAGTTCTTTAGCTCTAATGTTTTATATTGATTTTATTTTTTAGAATAGACTACTTAGTGTCGTAGATTAAAGACGAAAATACCGCTATTATAACGTCTAAAAAAGAATTATGGCATAGTACAATAATTTATCATGGTTCGAAAAAAAAAACAATGGTTTCCCAATGGATGCGGGTAGGAGAATAACAGCTATTAGATAAAAAATTCAAAATCGTTATTGGCTGATACGAAAGGAACCGAGTGAATACGTATTAATATTGTGTTTTGATTTCGGGAACACTTATTATTCGTCTCGGTCGCGTATTAGGGAAACATGGAAAACGTTGCACACCGTGGTTGTATCACACCCGCGGTCGCTTATTGTTCGTCGTAAGCACTCAGTGCTTAAGCATATAACGACGGTGATGATGATGATGATGATGATAATAATAATAATATTCATATGGAAATACGGCACGTAAATATACGCGGCGGCACGCCTTAAAAATAATACCACTCTTAGACGTTTGCACGTTTGTGATAACGATATAATATATATATATATATATATGTATACATGTATATTATTGTTATGATAACATTAAGTTAAAAAGATATCATAAAATTGCGTTAGGAAATGTTTGTAGCACGAAAAAAAACAATTCTCACCCATTCAAATGTTTTCCAAGTACGGGTCTTGGGCGATTTCATAATACTGCGAGAACGACAGCGTGAAAACAAAAGCTGTGCTGGAACACGTTGACGTCACGACTACGCGCATATACTAGGCACATTACGCGACGACGATAAAACGTGCACACACTCAACTACTAACAATCCGCTAGCCGAACCGTCATCTCGATTCTCGACGCATACCATTATATTTATAGATACACTAGCCACTATTTTGCGTACCCACCATCAGTCTTCTTCTTTTTTCCTTTTTTTTCCCCTCTTCTCCTACTATTACGACCACATTTACTACTACTACTATCAAGTCTAGTATTATGATTACTATTTACTATATTACTACTTCTATAACTGATACTACTACAACTACTAATAATAATAAAAATATGATAGTTGCTACTATAATTATAATAGATAGTAATACTTATTTATAATATTTAATACTGTCGGAAAATGTACGCTTAAGCCGGCAGCATAACGTATTGAATAAAAACCGACTTTTTAAGTAGACATTTTAATTATTTGTACAACAAAATTATTAGGTATTATACTAAAACATATTATGTTATTTGAGAGGGGGAAGTATTTATTTATAGATGGTAGTTTATTTTTCGTAATATTAATTGTCTCACCGCTAGATACCGTTCAAATGTATACAAAAATAATACTTGTTTTACTGAGATTGATCAACATTAAAACATAGTTCAGTTAAAAATCTAGACGATAAGTCAATTCCAGATTTTATTATCAATTTTGTAAAATATTCGAAATTAGCTAACCATACATAAAATATAATTAAAATATATACATAATATTTTAAGAAAATAACAACATGTTTCTTCATTAATATATAAAAAAAAAACATGTATTGTACAATTGTTGAAAAGTTTTACTGATTATTAGGATAACATAAATGGGTAATTAGTAAATTGATCGTTTACCATTTAACTCGTTACAAACAATAAATCTCTTTTTCTAAGTTAGAATCGATAACTGGTATAAAATAACTCCCAGTCATATTTCATACATTCCAGCTTTAAAATTTTGCATTAATTATATAAAAGTAATTTATTGTAGTAAAATTACACCATAAAAGAACTTGATGAAAGTATTGGATATGCTACTGGTCCAAATATACAAGTAATGCAATTGCTACAAATTTGTTTAGGAATCGATACAAAATAATTTAAATTTTTGATAGACATTTCGCAAGTATAGTCTTTAATAGAAAATATTATATATACAATTACAATACTATTTTTAATTTATTAACTCAAATTAAGTACAGGTAATTTAATTTATGATACTTATTAAGTCTAATTCGTTTATTGAGTTTTATTCACGTTAATATTGAGTTCATTAAACTTAAAGCTATATATCGCTACCTTAACAGCAACAACATGTATCTCATTTTTGGTACTTTTCAAGAGAGACAATAAACTAATTTAATTGTTGCTTAATACTTAATAAATCAGTTTCAATATAATAAAAATCTAATAGAACATAAAAAAATTATGATAGGTTTATTTTTTAAAAACAATATTGGTTTGAAAACTAAGAAGTTGTCTTTATATTTTTTTCTTATTTCATTAAAAACGGTTAAATTTTCTTACTTAAAAAATTATTATTCGCGTTTGTAGAGATTTTTTGTTTATTAACAAAGCGGAAATATTATTATTTTTATTTAGTATAGACTATATAAAATAATAAAAACTTATAAAACATTTATTCGTTACATTTTTTCGAATATTTTTATTTTTAATGTTCTTAAAATGTACTTATTGTACAATTTAATATGACGCGGATTATTATAGTTTATCATATTTAATATTATTAATATTATTCTTTATTGATTTTAACTCGATTTGCATCTAATCACCAGGATATTCAGTAGAATGTTATTGCTCTATTCATGTCCAACCTTTGTTGCCACGGAAATGGTAATACTTTAGATGTGTATTACCATAATGTGATTCTATTTCAGTTTTGAAAATAAGCTAATCGTTAAAATAATGAGAAAAAGAAAGTTTTAACAAGAAGGAAATACTAAATGGTGGAGCCAAGCCAAAAACTCTAAAGCTTCTTAAACTCGATGCGTTATAGATATAGCTGATGTAAAAAAATCCATTACCATAACATTGATACACTATCTTACTATTATTATACTATTATATATATATATATATACATATATATTTTACTATATAATAAGTCTATATTGAGAACATTAGATTAGTAATAAATCTAACACACCTCTAAAACGTATTAACACTTATGTAACTAAACTCCACCGCTATCTAACTTGTTTTTATTATACATCAGCAAAATTTCAATATATAGGTTCTAATTTGAGAAATAAAAAAATAATCGATTTGCTTTAGGTCTTGAATCAGTAAGAAAAAAATTGACAAACCACAATTTTTATAATTATTTATAAAATTTAATAAAAATGTAAATCGCATGATATAAGGATAGCACTGATGCAAAATATATCAGTAAATTTATTAAAACGCATATCAGGATATAATGATACGATACAGGTCTTTGAAAATGGGGCAAGGTACAAAAGCACATCTAGCAAAACTTTTACAATTATTACGTGAAGAGCAAAAATAAATTAATCGAAACATTAATTTTACAATTTCAATTTCATTATTTATTATGATGCGTTTGAAAACAATAGTGAATCTTCTTTTTTATTTAATAGTTTTTAATTATTAATGGCTTTTAAAAAAATTCATTAGACATGACAGACAAGTACCAAATCTAAGAAGAGGGAGCAAGTGAGTATGCATGGTCCAGGTGCTGTTGGAATAAGGCCCTCTTCATTTATAAACAGTACATCCCAAAATATTGAATGTGAAACTGTGGGTGAAAAGAATGCTAATACTTATAGGCGAAAAGGGGAAACTATTTTATCAAATTTGGTCGAAAGGAGGCCGTGGGCGAAAAGAGGAAGGTCCTTTTTGGGCAAAAGTAATTCCGCCCTGTAAACACTACTCATGCCTATTGGACAAAGTAAACATAATTATAAAACGTGTATTGTATAGGTATATTAACCGGGTAATTGGTACATTATCTACCTTTGAGTTGACAAAGTTTTTTCATAAAATAAAATAAGATAAAATATCAATTGTAGGTAATATTAATAAAATACGATAAAAAAATACGAATATAAATTGTACATTATGAATCGTGCATACTAAATCGTGTGCATATTTTATAGTAATTTTTAACTTCAGTGCGGTTCTATCGGATTTTGAGTTATTATTATATATTTTGAGTTTATTAATATTTGATAATTTAGTATTTTTTTAAAATACTTGTCTTCTTAAAAAGAAAAATTTTATGTGAGTTTTAATAAATTAATTAATGTAAATAATGAGAATTTGGTAAATTTGACGAAATCAAAATATTATCACTAGAGCTCGGATGTTTATGACTTAGCATATTTTTTTCGTGCAGCCAGAATTACACCGGAGTGAGATACAAATTTGATTCATGAAGTCTATATTATAAATATGCAAACTTTTTTTGCATATTCTTGCATATTTGACATTTTTGAGCATATAAATGCTTATAATGATAATTTATAGATTTAATGGCATATTTATAATATTTTAAATATAATGTAAACATAACACTTTATACGGTTAAAAACTCATATATTTATATCACTATGTGTATACACGAATGTCGGAATCGCCTGTCGACGATCATTATCTTATCGCCTATCGTCAATAGATTAATATTATAGGTATAGGTAAGTATAACAGTACAGTAATCCCTCGTTATCCGCAAAGGTTACGTTCCAGCAAACCTGCGTGGATAGCGAATCCGAATATATATTTATATTTATAGTAATTTATTTCTATCATGCATTTTTTTTATAACTTTTTTTTAATTAATAATAACCCCCTTTTTGCGTATATTTTTTACATATTTTTGTTGAAAAATAGGTATATTTGACATATTTGAAGGCATATATTTGCATATTTTGAAATTTTTAAATGCATATTTTAATGAAATTTGGGTCATTAACATCCAAGCTTTAATTATCACATATTTTCTAAAATAAAAAAATTGATAAAAAACATCATACTCTCATATGCATAATCTCTTCGATAACCGATATTTAGTATGTTGTTTAAAATACATTTGGATTTATCAATTTGTGTATTATATATAGCACATGCGTATATGATGTAATATATTTATATTTTGGTACAGTATATATCAGTGATGCTCAACCCACGGCTCGCGGGCCACATGTAGCCCACGAAGGTATTTTATGTGGCCCATTACGAATTTTCTAAAATAAAAAAAAATTTTAAAAATGTATGAAAAAATTTTTTAATTATTTATTTTCATATATTATTTTTATTTAAATTATTCCAAAAAATACAATTATGTATACCTCAATTCATAATCTTTTCAATAGATAGTAAAAGGTAAGAAAACAAATCCAATATATAAGATTGTTTTAATACTTTTCTACTTTGTGGCCCGCTTGAAGATAATTGTTTACCAAAGTGGCCCGTCAAAGGAAAAAGGTTGGGCATCACTGGTATATATATTTAGTTATTATTTTAATAATAATATTTCAATAGTATATAAAATAAATTGGCACAGTTTATACAATGTATCTAAGCGGTTTTGCCGCAGACTGTATGCTGTTATAATTTGATTACATATCAACTTTCAGAAAAAAGTAAATTTTCCATAGTTTACCATCTCTTAGTGTTACCAATATTTTAATAAAACGATGTATATAAATATTTTAAAATAAATGTTAACATTTAAGACTGCAGTTTCACACTCAACACTATATAATACAATGTATAGCAAACATTTTTTTTACAATGTGTTAAAATAAAATTACTGATAACAATATATACTTACCTATATTATATGGAATTGCTATAGCATCTTGTTATATTGTCTAAACTTAATTTTTTTCTATATTTGTAGATTTATTTGTATTATATTCGCCTTGGATTTTGTTACTACTCCATGGATGAATTAATTACAACTGCTTGAGAAATGGTTTATTCGAGACATTAAGTTGTATTAAGTTTTCTTGATTGACAGTAGCAGGTTATCACATAATATTTTTTTTATTTTTTTTACAATCAATACTTAGTTGGCGTGATACT